ATGAGACGGACGAGGCGGAGGAGGAGGAGGAGGCGGAGGACGACGAGGAAGAGGAGGAGGAAGAAGAAGAAGGGGACAGTGAGGCTGACGAGACGGTCGATGCTCTGGAAGGAGACGAGGACAGGGCTGACCGGGAGGAGGCTGACGAGGCGTTGGATGGCAATGACAGTGATTAAAAAAGAAGAGAAGCAACTATAAAGGGACGGAGTAAGCTCCTATCACAACATGGTGAGCGGCTGCTTTGGGTTTCGAGGCTGCGGGCGTGATAAGAGCCACAGAAACTACATCTTGTTGTCGACTACGCGTACATCCACGTTTGGTCTACAAGCAGCACCCATCAACTACAGCATCAATCACGAATTGAAATACACAAGATACAGAACGAGTATGAAGAGCAATTGATCAGCGTATTCCCATCATTGAGGTATCCCATGCAGCCTAGGCAGCCCACCCCCCCTATCAAACTGAAGAGCAAAATAGCGAAAGGTGAGAAACAGAAAGACAGAAAAGAAGCAGAGAAGCCCCCGGACAAAGTTGCTCCTCACCCAGCGAGAAAAGCACAACGACACAGAGATAGGGCCTCTCTACCCTTCTCGTTGCGACGTGTATCCGACTTCCAAAGGTATCCTGGCCAAAATCACAGCTGAAAAAAAAAGCGAAAACACCTCCTATGCTGCAAGAACCCCGCCCTAAGAAACGAAGAACCGAACAAGCAGAGGCGGCATAGAAAGAGAAACGGCCAATACAGGCGGATGTGTTGCCTTGCATGGAAAGAAAAGTACCCAGAAAGCCACCGCGCGCAAGCTAGCTACAGGTCAATATGGCCGTCGGCCGCGTTGACCTGCTTCGTCAACACCAATCCATCCTTATCCTCGTGCACCGTCGTTGGCATCTCAGACAAGGTACAATGGATTGCAGAAGAAACCCAAGCCAAAAAACTAGGTAGGAAAAAAACACGCAAGACAACACAAGAATGAAAGCGATATACCTGAAATCATGTCGAGGTTGTGGATGAGCTCAACAGCGCTCGGAAGGAGGGACACTGGTTTCCGTGTGTTGTCGCCAAGTCGGTATCGCATCATGAACGGAAGACCGCCCCAGCAATCGATCGAAAACTAACCATCCCCCCAGAACCGCCCAACTCCTCTATCCCAATCCTCGGCATGAATGCATCGGGCAGACTCCCAGGACGATCGGTCAACCAAACAAAAAAAAAGTAGCCACCACTAAATGTATGCCGGGGTATCCTCCAAATACGGCAGCCAAGAGAACAAGGCCGAAAATCGTGTTCAGACCATTTGTGTATATAAATAATCGACCCCAAGATGGCGGGGTCATGGGCTCCCGTGAGGAACGGCCCGTTGCTTGCTTCGTCATGACTTGTGTGCGTTGTGCCTATTGAGGTTGGTTGGCCCACCACTGCGCGCCAGGCGACTGTTGGTTCGACCATGCCTGGCTAACGGCTGGGGCGCCCGGGTTTGGCTGGGGCATGTACTGTCGTGGTGTTTGTTCGGCAGAGTAGATGGCCTGGTTCGATCCATAACCCTGGCTCATGCCCGGCATGCCGGAAAACTGCATGCCTGGCTGCACGCCGCTGGATGAGTGCTGTCGGAGCTGAGGCTGGGGAGCGGGTGACTGCTGCGGGTGCGACTGCTGCTGCTGTTGCTGCTGCTGCCCTTGCGTCGTGTACCCAGGATAGTGCTGATGTGCCTGCGGCATCTGCTGTGGCCACATCTGCCCGGAGCCGCCTGGGTAAGGGTAGCTCGGGGTGGACTGCGACAGACTGCCGGTCGCCCCTGAGCCCAGTGACGTCGGTCTGTTGTTCAGCTGCGGCGAGCTCTGTGGCATACCCCTCATCGGCGCTTGGCTGATGGGGTTCTGGGCATGGATCGCCTGAGAATAAGGAGGGTTCGACAGTCCCATTTGAGGGCTCTGATTGGGAACCAGACCTGGCTGCGACATGTTCACGGAGGAAGTGTGGGGCGACTGGACAGCAGCCCGACTCGTTGGTACAGATGCTTCGGTCGTGCTGATGGGTTGCTGCTGGTGCAGGCTGGCTGATTGAGGCTGTTCGTGTGGACGACGCCAGTGGTCCTGCAAGTAGTTGCTGCTCCTTTCACGATTCTGCGTGACCTGCCTGTTGTACTCAGCAGCATGGTGTGCCTGTTGGTTGATCTCGCCTGGCTGAGCTGGACGCGTCAGGTCCTGGTACGGTGGCCCAGTGATCTCCTGGCGAGGACCTCCCTTGAAGTTGACGCTATAGTCACGTGGGCGAGTGTCGCTGAGATCCGTACCCAGGGAGATCATAGGCATCCGGGTCGATCCTCCAGCGGGCCCGAGCATGCCCGGCTGGACAATCTGAGGCTGCTGCGGCGCGCCAGGGAACTGGGCCGGCGCGTTGCTGTAGACAATCTCACCTTGGGGTCCGCCAAGCATGACCTGGTTCTGGGCCTCGGCAGCCTCGCGAGCCTTGGCCTGTCCAGGCCGCTTCTCGCCCGCAGGGTCAGCCTCGGTGAAACCTTGCTTTCGAGCCTTGGTCTCCCAGTAGTCGTCACGGACGCGACGTCCGTTCTCGATGACGCGACTGCCGAATTGGCGGAACATGGACCGCGCCGTAACGATGGCGATCTGCCGCGATCGGTAAGAAAAGGGAAGAATTTCCTGAGCCACCAGGTCATCCTTTTCAGGCTGGCTGGCAATGATCTTGAAAAGCGATCGATTCTTGTTGAACAAGAGGTAAGAGTCTCGGTATCCCAAGACCCTGGCGCACTCCGTTGCCAACATGAACAGCCGGTCGCCGCGGTTTGGCACCAGGAATGTGCGGCACCGGTAGGTCCGCCCTCCTAGCAGCTGGCCGTTGGCCATGACCTTTTTCTCGCCGAACTCATCAATCTCGCGCGGCAGATATTCATCTCCGCTTGGTTCAGCTGGTCGGTGGTATGGTCTCGAACTGTGGCAGGCCCTTCAGCGTCGTCTTGTTGGCGTCGTCTTTGGTGAGCGATGCATTGCATGGGCGCGTACGCGACAGCTTGGCCGGGCA